ACTCCTTCACTTCATACATAATATAGGGGTTAGCTCCCTAAAGACACCGATTGTATAGTTTACAAAGCATTGAGTATCCTATATGTTATAGTCGTCTAATGTTCGTCTATTATTGGCTGGTAATTCCTGCTTCACTCTGTGCTTAAGCTTTTTAATAGAACACAAAATTTCTGTAAAAAGCTAACTTCAAGAGATAATGATAACATAGTTTACACTAGAATTATGTTTTTTTTTAGTTTATACTGAGGTCTACCACGCTTAGTTATAGCCTGTTCCCAAGTGCTCTTAAAGGGCTTTTCTGTCGTACTAAAGCCATTGCGAAAACTTCACACATTCTTTGGCTAGAGTGGGGAAAAAAAAGAAAGACGAACACTTTGGCTCTTTAGTTAGTTCCCAGCTATCCACTTTAGCAACAGTTTTCAATGATATTGGGATTCTCACAAGCTGTGAAACACTCGATAATGACAATTAGGTGGTCAAATAAGGCTGTAACTTAACTTTAGAGGTTATTTGTAAGAGTATAACTAATGTTCGTAATGTCTGCTTAAAATCTCAAATCTGCACTCCTTCGGAAAAAAGTAAGAAAACACTAATTCCACTAAAACTCGAGTTTTCCTAAATCTGCCTGAACATATAAAGTTAATTTAATAACTATTTGTTAGTATTCTGTAACAGTCTTTTTCCTGTTAGTTTTCCACTAATAAATTGTACTCATTATTGTTGAAACGCGTTCCAAGAAACAGTTGAAAATGTCTCACTTGTTATTTTATATTTTTATTTTTTCTCTCTCTCTGTCTGAACAGCGCTGTCAGAAACATAAGCATAACTGAAATCCCGCTAGACACGGTGCGGATACGAATAAATTGTTTAAAACGTATATTTTAGTATCGTAGATTTATTTATTTTTCTAGCAAACTTTAATCCAGTGTGTGTGAACTTATATCGAATATACTATCTATCTGAATACCTGGGTCTGTGGTTGTTACCATCCTTGACAATTGTTCTAGATTTTCTCCTGATCTTGAAAGAGTTGCCATGGCTCCTGGTGAGAACGTTAGGCCCTCTGGTGACTGGTGACCAGGATAATAATCGTAAAGTCGTTGAACTCCACAAGGGAAATTATAAGGACTAACTGTATCTGTAATAAATAATGGAATTAAGCGTGATGTGTGAAAAATAAGATAAACTGTTTTCATCCATGACATTATATTTTACTGTATGTGAAGCAACAACACCATTTCATCACACACTGACAACGAACGATTTCCGTAAACATACTTAATATGTTGAGATATACTAAAAGTTAATCACTTTTTGAGCGTTTAAATCAGTGTTACAAATTCAATGAGTGTATTACATGCACCACGATTAAAAGCCATATGACTGATTTTCTTGACTTTTGCCACGAAATTAATATCATACGTGAAGCTGTACGACGTACAGTAGTATTTTTAAGCAAGTGATTGATGCACTCTTTATGATATCACAACATATCTTTTCCTGTATTGTAGAGACGAAGTGTAAGTTTCCAGAAAACATACTCGGGGAGAACATAAAAATCAACTGTTGAGTGAGATAAATATGCTTTTATATCTTATTGACAGTGATGGTTTAGTAGTCAGATTGCTCTAAAGGTTTCTGTTGTTGAGCAGCGTCTTATAGATATTTTGGTAAGAAGAAGAACAATGTTAAGTCCACTTAATGATAATGAAATTATTATATTTATTCGACTACTAGTCTACTATAAGTTCCATGTTAGGCTTAATTTCAAACATACTACACTTAAACAGAAATTCCCCGTACTTGCTTATAATAATTAACAATAGCCTAACTTGCCTTTATTACTGTTCAAACTGTGCTAAAAACTTTATCATCCATGGAAGGCTTTTTCCCATTACTTTTATTGGCGTAAAATTTACGAGTGGAGATGATAAATGGGTTAAAGATATTAATCCACGCGTTCATCGCGTGAATAAAATCTCCATCTGTCCAAACAGCAATACAAATAAACTACAACAGTATTATTTATAAATAATCAATAGTTTTATGGAATTTCTGTAATCTGCTTCTATGCTACCAGCAGAAATAACGATAGATGAAGACTCCATGTGGTGTAATTGTTAATATATCCAACCATTGTACATCTGGATGAAAAGACATTACTAACATATATAAAATTGCTTTTCATATAACACAATAACTGTAGCCCTTAACAGGAGAGAATATTACTATTTTTTTATATCCTAGAGTAATAAGAGGTATTTTATATTTGTATGGTTTGTGTGATATATCTTAGTTTCTTTCCTTTCGTATATTTGAACCAGAATAACTTAATGTTCAGTTAACAACACTGAAGCTAGAAGAATAAAAAACAACTTATATTATTAATTGAAATTAGAATTTTAGCCTGAACCGTACCTTATGCACACATGGGCTAAGTGACCAGGTCACAAACCTCTAAGCTTCAACTTATTCATCCCTACTTTTGAACTACTGACTAGACGGAAAGCAGGTAGGCATCCAGCAGACCCGCCGCCAAAAGGGCTTTGTACAGCTCTTTAAATTTATATGTTTGATTAATTGTAAATTATCTAGTATTGACATGGACGCTTCATGAAACCATAGACTGGTTTAGTTTATTCCTGTACGAACTGTAGAGATAATTCGGGAAGGGGAGGGTACAAACCTATCCTCTTGATTCATTTAAATTTTTGACGTATGTTGGTTTATTTTAAAGCTATCAATAATATGAATTTGGATAGATCAATAAAGTGAAAAATATTGGAAACATAACCAATTTCCATCGTTGAAGCTTGTATCAATGTTTTCTACTTCGTGTGTCCACGCTTGCCGATTCATCTTATTTCAAGTAAAAACGCCTGTTTTTTTGTGATTACTATAATAATCAGGACGTTTTTACGGAACGCGTGGCCAAGAAGTGCGCATTCATTCGTGTCTTACTAAAACTTAAAGATGGACAAGATAAATTAATATAATCATTTTTCGGTTGTTTCGGGCCTACTCTAAACGTGTACTTAACAGTCATAGTCATGTTGTTTGTCCAACTACTCACTCATATAAGAAAACAACAACAATAAAAAACATTAATCTAAAATGCTAAATACCAACTTGCTCAAAGAAATTAACGGATTTATGTACTTTAGCAATTTACAGTGCACGACTACTAAGTTCATTTGTCAGATGACCAGTCACGTAATCTGACAAGCACAATTTCATGGTAGGCCCGGCATGGCCAAATGGTTAGGGTGCTCGACTCACAATCTGTGGGTCACGGGTTCGAATCCCCGTCACACCAAACATGCTCGCCCTTTCAGCCGTGGTGGCGTTATAATGTGACGGTCAATCCCACTATTCGTTGGTAAAGAGCAGCCCAAGAGTTGGCGGTTGGTGGTGATGAGTAGCTGCCTTCCCTCTAGTCTTACACTGCTAAATTAGGGACGGCTAGCGCAGGTAGCCCTCGTGTAACTTTGCGCGAAATCCAAAACAAGCAAACAAACATTTCCATGGTATGTTAAAATGAAAAAATTCTGACGTAGCAGTTTGAACAACAGCAGTGTATACAAATAGATCCAGTTTGATAATGAAGAATGCCAAGATCCAACAAGGAAATGTTCTCATTTTCATTTTGTTCAAAGCAATGGGTAGGCTAGACACCGGCCAAACAAAGTTATTGCCGAGTGGCTAGAAGACTTACAGAGTGTAGTTAACAGGATGTGGACTCGTTTAAAACCACTAATATAATCGGCTAAAGCCCTTGTGACCATTGTTGGTATCCCACAAGTCGACTGCCATTACCACCAGTGAAATCGGCTAAAGCCTTTGTGACCATTGTTAATTTGATACAAGCGGTGAGTCTCAGCTTTTCAGCAACTGGGCGATATGTCATCAGGCAAACGTCAGAAAGAAGCTTCATAAAGTTGGCTTTTATACCAGACGAAAATTGTGCATATTCCTTTAACACATCGCCACAAACTTTCAGAAGTATCAAAAGCATGTGGATGTTGAAACGACATGTGAACGAAATTCTTATTCATAGATGAGTGACGCTTCACTTTTTAGTCAGATGCACGCATTTAGAGAATGTTCGAGATCTGATCCAACTCCAATATTATAGCAGAAATCCACTTACCTGAATGCCATATCATATAAGGATGCAGTCTTACAAATAATAGATTGCAGGTGCAGTTGGTCAGAACGTTCTTTTGATGGATGATAACAACTTCCTGGAAGAAAAGGGTATCGAACTAGTGGACTGGGCCAACACACTTACGGGATTTTATGCAAATTAAATATTTATAGGATATTTTGGGGTGACGTTTGGCAACAAATGATTTACCTTCAAGCAAAGTTGATGAACTTTTCTGAGCTTTATTTTGCACGAAAATAAGCTCAGGTATATCACTAACATTATATAATATGTACATTGTCAGAGTTAGAATATAGAAAACTCCGATAATTTCTTAACTATTTTCAACATTTCAGTTCAAACACTAACAAGTACTTTTGTCTGACCCAGTAGAAGTTCTAATAAGAAAATATATTACGCTATAAAAATGTCGACTATGTATTTATACTGTATATGCTTTGTTACTTACAATATAAAATAAAAGGTTTGGATTAATAAAGCACATAATTATTGACTTCCTGGTAAATTGGTATTAAGACAGTTAGAGAGAGTGTTGACAATTATTTCCATTCACTTCAGCCATAAGTTCGAAGACTTTTGTTATCACTCTACACATTTTCAATTAAACCACTTTCTAAAACAAACAAACAAAGTATTCCAACCAAAGGTCAAATAAAGTAACAGCGTTTGAAAGTTTTCGTTCGTGAAGAGAGGAAACTGAAATTGTGAACCTTACCCTAGTTGCTACTTTATTTTTAATGTAAAAAACAGAGCAGTTAACATTTCCCGATATACAGTATTATTATAAGCCACTTTTACAACTGGCAACTTACTGTATACCAGTTTCAAATTTTGAAAGTAAATGCACAATAATAGGTTTTTTAGGTTTTTATCTAGGATTTAGTGTTACCGAAATGTTGAATTTTCAGTTCAGTTTTAGCAATAAGTGAAGCAATTTTTTCTTTAAATTAACCATCAGAAAGCAAGAGAACAATGATCGACAACTTGAGAGAAGTTAGAATCACCTCAAAAATGCCTGTACATGTCTGATCCTTAAGAAGATTGCCTAGCTCTTCATGTTCGCTTGGCAAGGTTTTAAACTATTTTGTTAATATTTAGGGTGGCGTTGGTCATCTCATTGCTTAAAGCACCCCTTTCCTTGCATGGTTGTTTCAGAGTATCAAGTTGGCTACTGAACCGGTTCTTATCCCTTTACTTTTTATAAAATTCATTCTTGGAATAAAAATGATTGCTTGATCGAACAGCAAATAAGCAGCGGTCGACTTCTCCATCGTGGCACACTCGACCGGCTTAACTTGGTAAGAACCGCGGTATTGACGTTGAACAAGTTGGGGGCACCGCTCCGACTCATCTATCTTCGTCAGACATCAGCCAGCCGAGAAGGGAACCGCTCCAGAACTGTCTAACGCCCCCTTCACAACAACCAGTACTACAACTCCACATAAATTGACTGCCTCCAGCTACATCCATAAACAGTGTAAAAACTACACTTGAGCTAAAATGTTTATGCAGGTCATCATATTCACCCAGTGTGTAGTGATAACTGACAAGATGACGTTAAGTACAACTCAACTAAAAAGATAAAGAAGAATGGTCATCATGGCAACAGTACATCTAAAACCGAACAAAAAACTAAAAACTACTAGTCTTCATGACATTACATTTATAACCCAACTAAACTGTAAATTCTGTGACAACAATGTATCTGTAAACCAGCTAAATAATAAAGGATGGTCTCTATGAGAAAATTATAATTTCTGTTTTAGTGCAAAGCTACGTAATAAGGTATCTTCTTTGTGCCCTTCGTGTGGATCGAATCTCGAACTCTAACGTTATAAGTTCTTAAGCTAACCGTTGAGATACCGGAGTGCATAAGTATTATATTTCTAACCTAGCTCAGAAAGTAAAGTTAAAAATAACAGTAATTTATGGTATCTTTTATGCATCACATTTAATCAGTTACAAAAAAT